CCCCAAAACCCCAAAACCCCAATTATCTGCATTTAAATCTAAATAGGGTAAAAGATATATAATAATAATTATAATAAGGATAGAATTTTATACTCAGAAAAATATTAGTTAGAATCCTAATGCTTTAATAATTAATAATTATAGAGAAATGACAAACAGGAAACAGGCGATAGGGTTACTCCTATTGACAATGCTTGTAATGGCTTAGGCTAACTCATTCTTTGAGCCATTAAAAACTAAAATAACAAAGATTGCTCCTTCAAAGGGTATCAGACTTCAAGCATTTGATCCAAAATCAACTCCAGATTTGATTAACAATGCTAAGGATGCTGTTGATGGCTATCTTGAAATCGCAAAGGCAGGTAAAGAAGCAGCTGATATAGCAGGTAAATTAGCAGTTTTCGAGAAACTCTCTGGTGCTCTTGGAATCGCTGGAGCTCTCGTTGGTTTTATATTTGCCTTCATTGGCACAGGTCCAGACCCAGAAATCTTGAAATTGTAAGAAATGATCAAAGAGACATAGTCATTAGTCGTACTTGGAAATGATAAAATTTTGAGTGCTATTAGAAAGCTCAACTCTCAAGAAGCAATAAGATCAGCTTCAGAGGCAGTCAGCATCCTGGATACCCTTGTAAACAAGCACATGAGTGAGAAAATTGAATTTGATGTAGGTGGTTACGATGTCTTGCCTTGCGGACCCGCAATGACTCTTTGCAACAACGCTTTCATTGATCTTACCAATAAAATGGACGATATTCTCAGCGCTTCATTCGAAGAATAACCAAGAGGAGATAAGGAAAGAGTTGGTGCAGTTGCTGACAACTTGATGATGTTGCTTTCAAATGCTATGTACTCATTAACATGGTTGAATGCCTAACAATGGAAAGCTTCTCACCCTAATGAGTTTGTTGCTCCAGAGGACACAGCTAAAATTCAACAACTGACTCAGGCTCTTACTCTTAAGCACTATTATTAAGAACATGCTGTTGGAGCCTATGCTAATTGGATGAGAGACAAAAAGTTCAGCACTTGCAGACTTTGTCAAAGCTGTGGTGGAGATTATCCAACTTATGGAGGTGAAGGCTACAAGGAGTATGACTGGGGCTGGTGGGACATGTTCAGAGACTCTTGCACTGCTGAGCTTTTCGGTGAGTCAGGTCCCCCTAAGCTTTGCTGCTCAGTTTAAGATCCTCCTCTTAAGTTCTGCAGTTCATGTGGAGGTGACTATCCATTCAGAGTTGGAAGAAAACTTAACGTTGATGACTGGGGTACTTGGAATAGAGCTGGAGGTAACTGCAAAGGTTCATTCGAAAAAACTCTTGATGAATTTGAAATCTGTGCTAGAGACAGAAGACAATGCAAGATGTGTGCAGGACAATGCCAAGCCAACTATTCTCAAATAGGTTATATACAGAGAAGAGATGATTGGGGAATGTGGAAAGTCTTTGATACTCAATAATGCAACCCAGACTACACTGGCGATCTAAACATTGACAAGTCAGCTGATGTTTCTTTCTGCTGTCTTGATGAAGTTGTATGAAGAAATTTATCAAAGTTATTATTTACTTTCATCAATCAGAGAACTAACTATAATTTTATTTGCATCATAAATCTATTCAATAACCCTATTTTACTCCTTTCGGGGTTTTGGGGTTTTGGGGTTTTGGGG